TATCAGGGATCTCTAAAGGATTACTGGAACTGATCGAATGCACACAGACACATATAATATATAAATATGCATAGGCTTCATTAGAATGACTTACAGGCTGGGGTCCAGGTGAGAACAGCACAGGAGCAGGCCTTTGCAGGACTCTTGTTTGACAGCATCCGGCTGCCATGACTGCACTGGGTGCTGTGGCTGCAGCAGCCGGAAAACAAGGGCTGTGAACATGCAGGTTCTGCTCTGAAAGATGAGTTTAAAAATCCAAAACCCCCGGAGAAACTGGAACAGGGTGAGGGAAGAGCAAATGATTCTTGTGTGAAGGTGGCTTCACAGACATGCATGTGTGCTGTGCATGCACCTGTGTGTGTGTGTTCCAGTGCATGAGGTCAGAGGTCAACTTCAGTGTCTTCCTCTGCCATTTCCACATTCCTTTCTGGGACAATCTTTCTTGCTGAATCTGGGGTCATTGATTGTCTAGACTAGTTGTCCAGCATGCCCCAGAAGAGGTAGGCAAACACAGGGACAACCCAGCAACCCAGGGTACCCTTAGCTGTTCCTTCCCCATAGAGCAACACCGAGCACCTACACACCTGTGAGTAATTTGTGGTCTGGAACTTCTGGTGTGAGGAATAAGGTCTACCCAACCCAGTGTATGACACAAACTCTGTCAAGTCTGTCCTAGTGACCTGTTAGGTGGGGAAAAATGAACCTATTTACCATCTCATGCAAATTATGCAATAGCTCATCTGTCAGTTGGCAAAGAATCACCCAATGCCCCCACCTCACATGGTCAGCTCTACTCAAGAAACTATGCACTCTGGCCTCTGGAAGGATGAGATTTCTGAAGCCCATTCTTAGTCTGTACAATGCATCCTAGGCTTCTTCAGGGCCTAGCTGTGTCTTGTCCAGTTTGCAATTTCAGATACATGAACTTGGGCAATAATGTCACAGGACACCCTGAGACTCATGACATGGGGCTCCTCTTGCCCCTGCCTCTTCCACAATGCTGAGATTACACGTGTATCCCAAAGTGCCCAGCTTTTATTGTGGATGATGAAGGTCTGATCTCAGGTCCTCATGTCTGCATGACAAGGACATGATTAACTGATCCATCTCCCCAGCCTCAAACTCATTTTGATAAAAAGCACCTGATGTGAAATCTACCTTTAGTGCACTTCTAAGGGGATGCTAAGGTTTTGTTATTTTTATGATCACAGCTTACTGCAGGTTTCCCTGCATGCCTTTTGAATGCTGCTCCTCACTTCCTGCCATCCACAGCCCCTGGCAATCACTAACTTATTTTCTGTTCCTAAGATTTGCAGAGCTTTAGGGATCTTCTATAAATAGAGTCATGCAGGATTCATCCTGCTGTGGCTGACTTGTTTCACTTAGCACGGTGTCTTTAGGGTTCTGTCCTCCAACCATGAACATGTGTGTGCACACCTCCTGAACATATACCACACACAATTATTTAAAGTGATTAGGGTATGCTAATTGTACAATCATCATAGAGTTTTTATCTCCTTCAAGCCTTACAAAGAAATGAGAAACTTGCAAGAGGCTTTCCTTTAGGATGGACTCCTGTGGAAGGCCACCTGACCACACCAGCATGGGGTCACTTATGCTAAAGTGGGCAGCTGAAACTAAATTGCTTTCCAAGAAGTCAGGTAAGAAAAGAGCCAAATCCTCACACAGGTCTGATGAGGAAGTCCCTCCCAGAAGTCACTGAAACTGCCAATCTCCTTGTTTCTGATTTCTTCAGCCTTTTCCTGACCATAAAGCCAACCTCTCTCATTCTGTCTTAAGAGCCAAGGGTGGGATACAGAGATGGCTCAGTGGTTAAGAGCACTGACTACTCTTCCACAGGACTAGGGTTGAATTCCCAGCACCCTCAGGGCAGCTCACAACTGTCTGTAATCCAGCTCAAAGTAATTTGACTCCTTCACACAGACTTAAATGCAGGCAAAACACCAATGCACAGAAAATAAAAACTATAATTAAAAATGAAGAAGAAGAAACCATGGGATTCCCTGATTCTAGAATCACCAAAGCCAACTGCAGTCTTTAAGTTTGTTATAGTTTAAGTTTGGAAGTTGGGTGCTCTCATTACTCCAATTTCCTCGTGAGAAGTAGACACCCAGACCAACAATAGTTATTTGCCCAGGATCCCTGGGGGCCTGGCCCAGGTGTGGCTAGAATTGGCCTTTCTGCCGGGCGGTGGTGGCGCACGCCTTTAATCCCAGCACTCGGGAGGCAGAGGCAGGCGGATCTCTGTGAGTTCGAGGCCAGCCTGGTC